AAATATATAATATTAAATTTTAAAATTATTTTTACTATAATAAATATATATATTTTAAAATATTAACTAATTTTTTTGATTAAGTTCTTCTATATATTTTAGTCTTCATCCATTTTTTTACATAATAGTTGTATTATAAGATAACATCGTATAGGTGAACTTTTGTACCACATTATCTTGTAAAGACCATATATTGTCTTTTAGTTTTTTTTAAAAAATAAAAATATGTTTAAAATATAAAAATCCTATTTTTTTATAATTTTTTTATTAGAATTTGGTATCCATGCTTATTTTTTTGATAATTTTTTTGCTAAGTGTCATAATACATTGTTAGTGCAAAAAACCAAACTTCTATATGTACAAGTTATAGATAAATAATCTTTATCTTCAAGTGATTTCATCTATAATATAATGTTAGTAGAAGTAATTACAAAAATTTATAAAAACCTAATAGTATTTGATATTATAAAATATCTAGTTAATCTTATTAATTTAGAATTAATGAGATTGAAGACCTAGATTCTCACACCTTAAAATTATATGATACTTATTCTTATGATATTTATAATATAAATTTTAGCTATTTATAGCTGTATTATATTGAATTTTTTAATATTATTTGAACTTAGTAAAACTAATTTATTTCTAACTATCTTAACTACCTAAGATAGCTTAATCATCTTGATTTTTATAATACATGGACAGCTAACAACTATTTTATTCACACTAGCTTTTTAACTTCTCTCTTTTAATCCTTTTTACATTAGCTCTTATTCTACTTCTTCTAACTCCTTTAACACCAAGTCTTCTCTTCTTGTTTTTACTCCTTTTCATATCAATGTTTTTTTTACAATATATATATATATATATATATATATATATATATATATATATATATATTTCTTTGTATTTTAAATTTTTTATTAAATATTTTTATATTAATTTAGTTCTAATATTTTTCTAAAATTATACTTCTTATAGAATTTAAAATATTTTATTCTATTTTAATATTAAATTAAATAATAAATCTAAATCTAAAGTTAATAATGATAAAAAAGGATGATTTTTAAATAGATTAAATATTTTATAATTGCAAATTTTTCTTGCTTTATGTAAAATTTATTTAAAAAATAATCTTATGTTTTAAAAAAATAAGAACCATAATTATAGAAGTTAGATTATTATACAAGATACAAAAGAATAAGATGAATTTTTTTATATTTATTTAGAACCAAAAATTTATTTAAATTAAGATTGTAGTGGAATCTATAAGAGATGTCTATATTTCTTTAGTGAATAGAAGTAAGTAAAAGTAGATTGTAACATGATATTGCATTGGATGCCAAAGCACATCAAATCGATGTAGTAAATAAAGTACATTAGTTTATGTATTCTACTTTAGTTTAAAAAATTTTCATCCTTTTAGTATTTTATATTAGTTGGTCTTATTAATGTCAACTAGGATTTAAGGATATTGAGTGGAGAAGCTTCATTAATTTAACATTCTTTGTCAAAAAAAGTCTTGTAAGTGTTTTTGAAAGAGAGAGCTTCTAGTTATAGAGCTTTGCTTAAATATGGGGATTTAGCCATTAAAGCTTAGGATTTTTTCTACACACTTGCACTCTTAGATTTTTTCTTTGTAGTATGAAAGATAGCTTAACTTGTGGTATTTAGATGCTTTATCTTTCATTGAATGTATCTTTTTTATGCATTCTTAGTTGATTTTTGATTGCATACTTGTAAATAGTTTTAGCACTTAATCTCCTATGTATGACAATCTTTATTTACACAACACAATAAAATATATTAGGTAGATGATATCTCAATTTTAAAATTCTAAAAACTTAGATCTTTATATTTCTAAAGATATGCCATATGGATATTAAAATTTTATTTTACAAGTTTATTATTTTTAAAATTTAATATTTAAATTAATTTTTAATTTTATGCCACAACTTTAATATTATTTGATAAAAAGAATATAGTTTTATTTTTAAATTAAAAAATTTTAAAAAATTAAAATATTTAATTTTTATATAATATTTTTTAAAAAAAATAAATATCATATAAAAATAAATAAATCAATATAAATAAATAAATAAATAAAATATTTCTTTTGAAATTCTATATAAAAAAACTATAAATATTATAGTTATTAAAACTCAAATATACAAAAAAGTATTATATATATACATAATCATATTTTAATCTATTTTTATTTTATATTTTATTTAAATTTTTATATCTGAGAAATTTTATTTTTTATTAAAGAAATATTTAATGATTATCAAATAACCATTTTTTTGTATTGTATACAATTGAGTAGTTTCTTTTAAATATTATATAAATATAAGAATATAGTTACATTAATGATATATTTACTTCTATGTGTAGATATAACAAAATAAGAAGATTTTTTTTAACTAATGATTAAAATATAAATATAAATTTGACTTAAAAATAAAATATTTTATTTTCTTAATTTTTTATTATATTTTCTTTAAAATTCTAAATATTTTATTTAAATTTATATATATCCTATTTTTAATAAAATAATATATTATTTATTTAAAAAATTAAATATAATTAACTAATTAAATAATAATATATACATTATATTCATTTTAACACATGTATTTATAAAATAAATATTATTAATTATACTATAATTATGCCTTCATGTAAATAATAATTAATATATGTATATAATTGATGGTGATTACATTAAAATTATTGCCTCCAAATGCTATAAGTTTATTCCAACTCATAGATATAAGAATTATTTGATCATTTAAAGATCAATGATGCACACAAATGATTCAACATCAAATAGATTTTCTTATAAAAAATAAGAATAAAGATATTGATGCATATCAATATGTGATAATGCTAGAGAATACTTGGCAGATTAGAGTTAGTGCATCAATAATCATAAATTATTAGAAATGTATATTTTTTTTTTATTTATTCTTTTTGATTATATAGATGTAGAAGAGATAATTGTGAGAGATGGAAAAGCTCAAGAAGCAATAAAAAAGAAAAAAAAAAATAGAAGAAGTTATCACCTTCTTAGAAAAATTGGCATTAGTATTTGTAGAGAGTGAAAATAGACCTACTATGAATGCACATTAGTTGATCAATTATAAACTAAAAATTCATCTAAACAATCCCTACATAACTATTGATGAAGAAATTTTAAATATTCTTGGTGAAAGAAATGATGTAACTAACAATAAATCCTTTGAAGAAGTTGATAATGTACAAATTCATAATATAGTAGAAGATAGAATAGGATTCAAGAATTGAAAGTGCATCAGTGACCTTGAAATGTTTTTTGGAATAAAAGTCTATTGATGTTATACTTCTCATCCAAAGAATTCAAACACTTCAAAAAAAAAATCATAGCATACACAAGAATCTCATCAAACTACTTTAGATTTTTTTCTTCTATTATATTTAGATATAAAATGACATCTATTTTTTATATATTTTCATCTTTCATTTATATAAATATTAATTTCTAAAATTCCAAAGTCATATAAGTATTATTCATGTAAATGTCACAAATCATCTATATTACCTCTAATAATTATTAAAGTATTAATATCACCTAAGTGTTACAAGTTTCTTTGCTCCAAAGTATTAATACATATCAAAGATAGACTATAATATAATTATTTATTTTGATTTTTTTTCTGAGTTTTTAAATGTATTAATGTACTTTTTTCCATAGTTAAATTATTCTTTTTAAATAAATCTAATAACATTGGATTTGGTTTATTACTTAGATAAATATTTTTTGAACCGTCTACAAAATTCTACTACAAAAACAAATTGATGTTTATATTCTTGTCTCTTCAATTAAACTTTTATTTATTCTTTTGATATTGTCATATTGAAAACATGGCAAATTCTCTGTCATATTGACAGATGGCAGAGGCTTTCCCCATCATTTTATGATACAGCAAAATATGTGTTTTCCGGTCCAAGTTGAATCAAAGCAAGAAATGAATCGATCATTTTTCAATATGAAATAAACCAATAAAGTTTTATACCATATATGAAGAAGTTTCATTAGATCCAAACACAGGCTCTTGTGATAAAAAGACCATATGTCAAGAAAAACTTCAAGCCAAATTCACAAATAACTGATTGTTTTGAACCGATAACAAGAGTCACGGCTGCAGTGTTTGGTGCATAATTAGTTAAGAAAAGAGGGTACATAATCTGACTTGAACAAGAACCCAGCTGAGAAGAACCTCACATCTCATGGACGAGTTGATGTCCAGGTTATGTTAAGAAAACAGGAACTGAACAGTTTTCTCAACAAACATCACGACACACTCACTGTTCACAGAATCGGCATGTGAAGGTGAATGCATTACACACGATGAGATAAACTTAGCAGCGCCGAACTGTCTACTTTAGTCCCCTCATAGATCATGTGTCACAATTTCTGCGAGATGGACCTCTGTTCATGTCGAATGAACCCTATTTGAAAGAATAGTCAACGTCCAGGTGGGGATCGACTGCGTCGATCTATTTGTGGACTCATAACAGCGATCAGTAGTGCACCCTGGATAAGACTGGTGATGGTAGCTTCTTACGGTAGCGGGAGAAAACCACAAAAAGTGCGAAGTGTTCAGAAACTCTGACGCGTGTATTACATCGATGAAATCGCGACTGAACTCCAGAAATAGCCGAGTGAATATTTTTTCCACCATTGAGAGCACAAGTGCCAGAGTGTTTCTACAGGATTGGGCTATTGATAGTTGTTCGGTCCAGACATCGAAACCCCAAGAATGGTATGCATCGAGACGCAGAAAGTTATTGATGCATGTTCACGCTGAATCACGCATGTTGTAGATCAAATATTCGTTCCCATATTTTCCCGGATGGGCTATTCCGTCTTGAGTTTGTTGCCAGCTGTCGGTGCGCTTAGAAATTTAGATTCGTCCGGAAAGGAAGGGTGAATGCATTTAGGGGGCACAACGCTACACCGAATTCAGAACTGGAACTTTTGTAATTTTCTGGTGTCTCACTCCAGCCACAGCACTGGCTGCCCTGCCTATGTCTTCATCATCTCGTATCAGTGTCATCAGCTTTAACAGTTGAGTCTGATCTCGCTGTGGTTGAATCACTTTCGGTACGAGACAATCGACGAAGATGGCACAGGGAAGATGCAGTGCAGTGCTGGTTGTTTCGCTCCTTCTGGTTAGCTCTGCCGCCGTGGTGCACGGAGTCGATCACAATGTAGGAGGGACAACCAAGTGGATCAAGCCGGATGGTTCCACAGTCCCAGAAAACTTCTATCAGAAGTGGGCCAGTGAAGAGAAATTCACAGCAGGCGATAATCTGGGTTTTTAAGCTCAACCCTGATTTATCTAGTTTAACATGTAGAGCAAATTTCCTTAGTAGCTGGTCTGTTGACAGTTCAGTAGCGTCTTACACAATTAATATGGCGTGCTAAAAATTGTATTATGGATTGGCAGTTTTCGTCTACAACCCAGCTGGGCACAGTGTGCTAGAAGTGAGTGCGACTGACTACGCCGCCTGCTCGACCACCACTCCAATCAAGAGATATGCAACCGGAAACGACATCATCTCTGTCCCTGCTGGACCGAGCTACTGGATCTGCGGAATTCCATCACATTGCCCCGCTGGTCAGAAGTTTAATATCACCGCCGCTGCTGGTTCTTCTGGTCCTTCTAGTTCTGTTGGTACAGGAAATGCTGTGAGTATTCTTCACGTTGTTGCTGCCTTGGCAGTGGCCTTGATTGCCTCAATGTCTATGTGATTGCCAGATCAGGCATCTTGATATCATAGATCATCCTTTTATAGTACCGAATACATTCATTCTTTCCCATAACTCCAGCGACATACTAACTAGAACAGATAGGTATGTGAATCTCTTGCGAAGGGACATGTTCGAACTATTGAAACTAATTTCAGAGGCTTTCACCCATGTTGAAACGGCTATACCCAGATGGAACTACTCTTGAATAAATGCCAGTGATCATACTTCTTTGAAGCGGTGCAGCGTGTTTTGATAGATTGCATGCATTGCTCAGGGAGTCATTGCACTGAGAATATTGAGCTATCAAAACACTTGCCGTTCGATTCTCTTGGGTTACATTTGGATAGTGAATGGCAGTGTAACGGCTTCTATGTAACAGTTTGAGAGTATGAATGTGCCGGCCTTGGGAGGAATTTCTCAGAGAGATGCCTATGACCATATTACAATCAGAAACTAAATTATGGCAACTTGCAAATGCACAATATTTGCACAATACTTCTACATCATTGGATTAAAATTATTAGTAATAGTCATGAATCTATGTTGTAATGTTACAATCCATTTAATAAAGATATTTCTCTCTAATTTACTTTCAGAAAATATGCTTTTTAATAACAAAGTTTTCCTAATAAGAATTGAGAGTAATAATAAATAAATATAAATATAGATATAGTTTAAATTAAAATTTGTAAATATAAAGTTTAAAATTATTGTATAAGAAAGTACATAAATTTATTTATAATTTTTTTTATCATGCTATCATTTAACCAATATTACCCTATATCTATAGATTTTTATAAGAACTTTATAATTGTATATATATATATAATAAATTCTTAGAGTCTTGTATTAATTCCTTGAATTCTTAGTGTCTTATACACCCTTTGGGTAGAACAAGACTCTAAGAATTCAAGGAAATAATACAAATGAAATTTATAATATATTATAAATAAAGAGCTACAATATGGAGTAAGAATAAGACCAAAAGACTCAAGCTAAGCCATAGGAATTCCATTGTTAAGACTAAGGATCCCTTCAACCTTAATTTATATATATACTAAATATAAGAAAGCTCCATAAGAATTTTTTATTGATGCTCAGAGATGAAGCAAGTTTTTAAGAATCTTTTATGACTATATAAGATTCCTTGAAACCTTCTAGGACCTTTTAGAGGTTTCTTAGAATCTACAATAATATATTAGGAACTTTTCAAAATCATCTAGAATCTTCCATTTCTTTTAGAGCCAAGTGAAATATTTTGGAACCTTCTAAAATCTTCTTCTATTCTATATTGGTGACACTACTTCTTTTTTATGTTCTAAGTTCTATAAAGAAAGATAGAATCAAAGATTTAGAAATACCTCAACAATCTTAAATAGTCTTAAAAAAAATTAGATTATATTTAATTTCAAATAAAATTTTAATAATTTTAATAATTAATCCTAATTTAATAATTAATCTTAAAGAAATTATAAATGATCATAAAAAAATTAGCAACTTATTTAAAAATTAAAAAATAACTTTGACTTTCAAAACTCACTTTCTAAGATCCTAACTCATTTGAACCTCAATTACTTTTGATTTGATCATCTAATTGAGTTTAAATTTACTACCTATATTTAAAAAAACTACAATGATAAATCTACAAAATTCCATCCAAAGATTTGTTACAAAATTCACACAACTTATCAAAAAATAATCTCTATTTTATTTAATATATAATAGAATCACCCAAAACAATCTAAACATTGCAAAACTCTCATAAAGTCAATATGCACTCAAATCCCTCAAAATCAATGCTTATAGAAATTTTATCAATATTGATCTCAAAATCTACACTTTAATGAATAAAAAGAAGTATTGTCTACCATATGCATGCAATTTTGTATCTCAAGATATGGTTTTGCCGTGGTTCATAAACGGCCTTCTACATTTATCAATCTAAGATTTATCTAAATAACTTTTTGTTGATTGCTACTCTTTGCTTCTATATAAAGATTCTTATATTACTATTTTTGCTAATCTATTTGATTCTATCTTATTTATGGTCCTATAAAGCAAGAAGAAGCTTTTTTTATAAAAAATCTACATTGATACTTATTAATTTTACTACCTTCTTAAATATTATCTATATTTATAACATAAAATTTTATTATATTTAAAAATTAGATCTTCTATAATATAATACTTTTTTTTCACCTAATAATTGTATGCTTCATTAAGAGTAAAGATTTCTAAATCTTTACTTATATATATATATATATATATATATATTAGGTGTTAAAAAGCTCCTTGAAGAATTTTCTTGATGCATGGAAGTGAAGTCAGCCTTGGATCACTTTTTTGCATTTTTTTAAAGTATCAAAGCCTCCAAGAACTTTCAATGACCATCTAAGATATCCTAAAATCTTTTAGAACCTTTTTGAAAGCTACTAGGACCTACCAAGACTTTCTTGGAACCATCTAAAATCTTCTAAAATCTTTGAAGATTAAATTGAATCTTCTAAAATCTTCTTTTATCATATGTTTGTGACAAGATCTTATCTTAATTTGATTTATTAAAGAATTCAAATATTAAAAGTAAAAATAAAATATTAATATTAATAAATTTAGTAAATTTTAAAAATATATATATAATTTTTAAAATATTTATTCAAATATTTATTTTATATATAGTTAGCTTATTTATAATATGAGCTATATATTTATAATATAAGTCATATATAGTTAGCTTATTTATAAAATATTCTATATATATTTTATATGGTTATCTTATTATATATAGTTAATTTATTTATATTTAGAAAATATTTAGCAAATATTTTCTTATTATTAAAACATATGTATTTATAATATGAGCTATATATAATTAGCTTATCTATAATATGGCTATCTGTTTTACATATATTAAATAATAATCTTTCTCTTAGAACTTATAGATACAAATTTGCTCCAAAAAATAGATGTTTGATATTTTCAAAATTAATATATAAATTTTAATTTTTTATATTTTTAGATAAATTAAGAAAAAATTAATTTAATTTAATATCTAATTTATCTAAATATTATGGTTTTTTAACAATAATACATCCGAAATAACAGAATTAATTAAAAATAGACTAATATTCAACAATATTATATTTTTGAAACCATATAAAACAAACTCTACCAAAAATATTTATTAGAAAACATGCTTAATTAATAAAAAATAAAAAATCAATACTATTTCCATCTATAGGTTTAAATTTTATATCAAGATTTCTTCATAATAGTTAATAAATTTTTTATTAAGAAAACAACTAAAAAAAATAAATTTAATTAAAAAATAATATAAATAAAATAAAGTAAAAAAACAAAATCTATATGATCTTCAGATCATGATTAAAATAATATTAATATTTTTAAAATTAAAATAATAAAAAATTACCTTAATAAAATGATATTGTACAAGAAATTACAAATAAAAAAATAATAAGAGAAAAATTATTTCACTTAACATTAAATGATATCTATTAAAGATTTAGATCACATACCTATACATAAATCATTTTTTTGTTGAAAATCTTTTTTTTTTGGTTGTGCTATTTGCATCATAATTATCAAAATAAAAAAAATAAAAAAAAAACAAAATAAAACAAAAAATCTAATTTTTTTAATACTAAATCTTATAATTTTAAAAAGAATGAAAATTAAAAGCAGATCCAATGTACTTATTATTATTTCAATAAATCTACTTTTGACATACAAAGAGTTGATAATTTTGTAGGTGGTTTTTATCAAAAAAATTCATTTTATTGAGAAGTTCTTTGAATTTATGTGTATTAATATTAGATATTTTCAAATAATAGTGCTTAGTTTCTTATTAAAGTTACTATATTTCATGATGATTAGAAAATAAAACATTCACTTGAGATAATGTAGTTGTTAATGAAAATTCTACTATTTCTATATCTTCAAAATAATTCATTCTAGATAATAGATGTGGTAGAAAAGAAATGTGATTCATTACAAAAAAAAATCTATTTTATTATATATACAATATCAATTTTTAAAACAATTTCTAATTTTTTTTATGAAGAAATGAAATTTTAATTTATATCAAAAACCACAAGGGATAGAATTAGAAAAGAAGAATATATGATAAATGGCAATTTGAAGATAATATTCATTTACAAATGATAAATTTGAAACCTCTAAATTACTTTGATAATATTAAAAGAAATATATTTTATTTTATTTGTTAAAAAATATTTAGTTTTCATATCATAATTTTTATAGTTGTACTATTATCATAAATACAAATCCATAATGACTTGTTAAGAAACAAAATAATATATTATAATATTTGCATATATATATAATTATTTTATTAAAAAATAATAAAATAATTTTTTAAAATAAAAATTTAAAAGAAAAAACTAAAGATGGTCTCAATCTTCACTTCAAATATATTAGTTGATACAAAGGCTATGTGGAAACTTTTTAAAACTACAAAACTTATATGTCAAATATCTAAATTATAAGACACTTATATAATAGTATTTAAGATGTATAGAATTGATATAAAATTATTTTAAAATTGCAGAGTAAATATAATAATAAATAATAATTTAATTATTTTTATAAAATTTCTTAATATAAAATAAAATAAGGTATTTTATCTAAAAATTTATTATTTATTCCTACTTATTAAAATAAATCATGTATTTAAAAAATTAGGCTAGAATTACAATACAAATTTTAAATATATATAAAAAAAGAAAAACATAATAAAAAAGTATACAATACAAAGCAATAATAAAACCAAAAAATCCAAAAAATATTTTTATAAAATTCAATAAGTAGTTGAAAGTTTAAAGTATAATTTTAAAAATAAATTAATATTTTAAAAATAATATATAATTCACAATTAATAAAAGTTTAAAACAAATTATATTAAAAATTAAATTAAAAAAATATTAAAATAATTTAACTAAAAAATAATAACTATCTTAGATATCTTAGTGAGTATTAATTATAAATTTAATATTAAATTTATTTATTATTTTAAAAGAATTAAAAATTTGAATATACTCAAAAACCATAAATTTAATTAGCATTAAAAAAGTGATAGCTATAAAAAAAAATATAGCTAAAGATTGGTTTCTTTGAACAAAAAACATTGATTGGATGCAATTAAAAATTTAATGAAGAAATATTTTGATGTTAGAAAATATGCATGTGAATTATATTACATTTGAAGTACAAAATATTAAGTAAATATTTTTACAAGTAAATAATTCTATTAGGTGTTATTACTATAATAAATAAATAATAAGATTTTAAATTATTTATTTTTAGAGATTAAAAATTTTAAATTTTGTAATATAAAAAGACCACACTGGAAGAAGTTAGAAAAGGGCCTACCTTAGAAGGGATTCCTATAGGTAGCCAAACTCACCTAAATTGGATCTTGAAGAGATAGAACTCTTTGAATTGGTTTCTTAAAAATCAAATATTTTTTTTAGAATTCAAATCTCTCGCAAATGAGAGTTTACTATAAGAGACCATATAGAAGTTGGATGTAGTAGAAAGAAAGCCTAAAAGGTGGAAATAGATTCCAAAGATATCTATAGCAATTGGAAAGCGTGAAGGGCCAACACAAGAGAACTCAATAGATAGCTAGGGAGGCAAGCCATAAAAGAATTATTGTTAATGATGTTGGAAGTCCAACTGGTGTATGGGAGTCATATTTAAGATTTTTGTAATTTTTGAATTTTTCTTTGCATCAATCATCAAAAGGACCTTCTAAGAAGAAAATCCAAAATTTCCTCAAAATTGTATATGTAAGTATGAGATTTTTCATCCTACATAACATGGTTTTTAATTTGGTCTCATTGCACTTACATCAAAGGTAATTCCATGAAATTCTAGGGAGCTAATCTTTGAGGATTTCTTTCTTCACAAAGAAAGTAGAATATTATCAAGCTAAAAGAATCAATTGGTGTCTTATATTCATACTATAGTTAGTCAATCAAATTGGTGTGATCATTGGAAGTTCATCATTAATAATTTGTATTCAAGATTTAGATTTAGAACATTTCATTTGGTTTTTTTGAAGGCCCTATAAATTTATATCAAGATTGGAAAATATAATCAAAATTAATCATGTTTTCTATAGTTTACAAATTCCAAGTTGATATTCCATTGTTGTCAACTATAGACAAATCTAACTTTTGATCTGGCATGACAATTGTCTATAAGGACACCAAGTATATTGGAGTTTCTTATTTAACCAAAAAGAGATGATTATTGACCTGAGAAGCTCCCATAGAGAGACCAATTTTGGATTTTAATTTCTATAGAGCAAAGACCTTAAGGATTGTTTCCAATTTTGATAGAAACCAATGTTGTAGACAACAAGGATAGAATATTGGTTCTCAAGAATTGGTCACTCAAAGTAATTAGCAATCTTCTTCTTTTTACTACAACAAAATCATAAAATAATAAAATAATATTTAAAAAATTAAAATTATTATTTTAATAATAATTAAAGTTTTATAAAGCATACTAATTATAATTCTAATAGTCTTTAAAGATTTAAAAACAAAAAATAAGTAGTCATATTTTTTAACTTCATTACTCTATTAGAAATCAAAGAAATTTTATTATTAAATATTATAATTTGATTTAATCAGAATAATAAAAACATTAATAGAAAACACGAGTATAAACTATAGTAATAGAAAATAAAATAAAAATATTGGTGATTGTAAAAAAATGTCTTATAATTGTTATTATATTCTTTTTGAATCATAAAATTTAACACAAAGATAGATATATATAAAATTAATTCACTTATTGAACTTAATAAGGTCAACAAAGCTACTAAATAAAAACTAATCAAATTGTAGTTTTAACATAAATTTATTATATATTTATTTATAAACATTTGGCACTATAAAAAAAATGAAAATACCAATTTTAGTCTTCACGTTTTTTGGCAAGTGTTGAGAAATTTGAAGACAAGCACAAGAATCTATTGTTGATCTTATGTCTTGTTGTAATCATACTGAATTTGGATTCCAATAAAGCAAACATAACGTTTCTTCCTTGTGATGAGATGATCTCTTGGTGGTTGTGAAGAGTTGATAGTTCATGCTCAAGAGTATCCTTATCAAATGTATATCACAGATTGTGTGCTGTTGAATATAAATTTCTCGACTAAAATTTGCTGGTAGCGAACCATGTGCCCGAAGCTGGAAATTACGACACCCACTTCGTATTTTAAAATGTGATCGTTACCAGGAATCCTAAAACTTCTACTGCGGAATATATTAAGATTCAATAGGATTGGATAAGATCATCAGTATCTAAGAATGTGAGAGTGGTGATGCTGAGGCATCCCAATTTGAAGGCTGGTTTTGACTTAGCTAAACCTGAGTTGGTATGATCTTGCAGGTCATTCTCCAGAGAGCATAAGGTAATGAAAGTAGATTTCTGCAGGTCATTCAACGATATGAAATGCATGACCTTGCCAAAAGAAAACGCATGCAAGTGCAATAGTGAGATGAATAAGGTATATCTCAATAGATTTACTCCTTAAGAGGCAATCATGAAACACGAAGTACCAAACAGACAGTACCAAAAACAATCGATTTCATCCGCAATTAAAACTGCAGGCACTCCATTGAAAGAAAAAAAAAGCACACGATAATGAACATGATGTCCAACAAGAGCTCGAGATGCACTTATTTAAGTATTTATCAGTCCTTAAGCCAACACAGGCTTTACAACCCTTTTTTTCCTAAGGTCACACGCTGCTATTTCAAATTGATGGAAAAAATCAACTGCAGGTAATGTACTCTGTACTCTTCCGAAGAGAGGATAGTATCAAAAGAAAAAAGCAAAACTGGACATTTCATTGACACTTAGGAACTGTCGGTTTAGGGTCTGTAGATGTCAATAGTCCACTGTGTACTACAAAACTAGATGCTTGGAGTAAGAAACAAAACTGCACTTGCTGCCAGAAATTACAGCACGAAGTAGTACATAACCTGTATACCTTAGAGATTAAGATAACCAAAATTGTCCCGTGGATAAGGAGACCTCTAAGAAAGAAAGAAGGAAAGTGTAGGCACCGTCACATTTGTTAAGACTTCATATACCTAAAGGGAATGTAAGCCTCAAAGTTGGGCTAAGAATATTGGGGACAATTCATTCCAAATCGCCAGATACACTTTTTTGCTCGACCATAGCCGATCCTAACCAGCATACGGATCCATCCGATTAATGTTACAGAATTCGCCTGTGACCTGCCACTTCAACTCCCAACCATCCGCGTCGATTGTAATGTATTCGTCACTGCAACGTCAACCCCCAAGGATTCTTGTGCGGTGCATCCAACGCTGTTTGTTGCTTGATTGTACAGCGTCTGGGTTGATGACTCCAGTTCATGCGGTAACTGAAACCCACAGTATCAGCAGAACGCTAACTGAAAACCAGGGGCTGGATTAGGACTTGGCTGACCGAGGAGGGGATCACTTAGAGTTAGATATTACTTGACATGGTGGGAGTAGTTCAAGGTCGTTGTGACCATAAGTAGGTGGCTGCATAATCAGGAGAAGTTTGAAGATTAGCTCTGTTACCCAGAAAATGTGATGGTTTCAGTACATCTGGGTGCAGTAATAATCTATTTGAATGTTGTTTCGAATGCTGCTTGGATCCTGTATTTACTTTTTCCAGTCCACAAGCCTGCGCAAAAACTCCATAACCTGTAATATCGCGGCACCAAAGTATTATTAACAATCACGCCTATTATTCTTCAGAAACGGATTCTTCCCATAATGAAGCGGTCAAGTTCCTAAATTACTCCAACGTGATGTATAGAGAGATGAATACCTCCAATGGATCACGAAGCGAGAACTTTGCTTCAGTTGGTTTAACGACAGAAGATACCAGAATACTGCAGCCATACTTTGTCGTATTGACCATCTGGCAATCGCAACATACGAGATTGTCAAGAGAGAAAGTCAAGTCACATCGCTATAAGTTATATTGTTGACCAAACAATCTAAAGTTTGAAAAAATAAAAATCGAGCAAAAGAAAAATGTTTCCGAAGGACAAATGCACACAAAAAGCACCCATCTTCATCAGCCAAGTACGAACCACTGCCACAAAAAGGACCTGCATGTATGCATTAAACAACAGAATACCCAAGGCCGATAGTAGAAAAAAGAGAATACCTTGAAAGCATCTTCATCAGTCTTATCGTCTCCAAGGTATATAGGAATCACATCACTTGTATCTTTGAATCCTGCAGATTGAACTTCAATAGATCAGTTACTCCATAACCTCAACATGATGAGATACGTTATCAAACGCAGTTTTTGTATACATTAACATGAAACGAAGTGTAACATCAGTATTCATTAAAATGTATCGATAACATTTTAAGTTCTCACCAAGAGACTTCAGGAGAAACTCTACGGCTTTGCCCTTATCCCACGCAATGGATGGACGAACCTCCAGAACCTGCCAGGAAAGCAGTGCGGCTAAGACCTTCGTCATAAACCCCACGCATGTACAACAAATAAAAGCGCTTAATTAGCAGACGAATTTAGCAAAAAGATGAAGTATCACACCTTACGACCGTGAGTAAGGCTCAAGGTTGGAAAATCTTTCATAACATTTCCCACCCGCTCAGCAAGGGCCTCCCAAAGCTGCACATCACCCACAAGATAATCTAACAGATTGAGAATGAAATTATGTATACATTTTCAAAACAAATCCCACGCATGCCAACTCACAAAATTGAGCCGAAACGTAACTAGGTGATTCAAAAAAGATTGAAAAGCAAAAAAGACTAACACAAACCTCCTCTTTCACTCGTCGGAAGTGCACTGACACACAATACTTGTTATTTTCCACCTTCGACCCCTTGATCGCTTTGGTACTTTCAAGCAAAGCAGTAGTAACCTGGAAGAAGTTGCGAATAAGAATGGAGCCTCCATATTATTATTTAAAAATAAAAATAAAAAAATAAAAACTGTAAAAAATTTAATAAATCTAGATACTGTCGAATCCAAGAGGTGTTATCTTGTAATCTACCAACTCTTCTCAAGCTAAAGTACGAAAAATACCTTGTTGATCAGTGGCAAATACTCAATAGCAGGCTGAAACAAAACTACGTCATTTCCCTGTAGACAAAAAAGGATGAAGATTAGATGTCAAAAAGAGGATAACCAGCTCACCATCTCAGATCCTTGAACAAAAAATCTTCAAGTACAGTATGCTCACACAACTACGAACAGATACAAGAATTTTAATACCTTCTTATCTCTGGCCTTGATTCCTTTCACACGAAAACCATCGGAGCCATTCGCAGGCCCCATGATGTCCATACCATGACTCCCAGCGTAATATAATTCTGATAATTGCACGAAATCGTACACCTGCTCCAAAAACATACCAACTGTAGGCACAGCGATCCCAACAGCATATCCCTCTCGGAATTTTGATTTGACACTACATCCAACTGCAAAATATTCGCATCAAGGTCATGTGAATCAATGTATGGATTTAACAGAAACAAGCCAATGCTCAAGGACAGAGTGTGATACAGAATCAGAATACCAGGAATCCTGTCAGTACCTTCGGTCGAGATCTGCCACTGATCACCGCGGTTGGAAAGCAAGACGCCACATCCTTCACAGTAGACCGCATCTGTTGAGCATAAAATAAAATAAAAAAGTACTTTTAGTACCGGCTACACGGTTGACCTCATTGAGAAATCATCTATCTTTCAGTGCTGATCGAGCGTGGAAATGTTTCCTTCTCATTCCAAAACACTACAAGACGTACTGACCTCGGCTGACATAAAGGCCCGCTCCGGATCCTCCACAATGGGTGAAAGTGTTCCATCATAGTCAAGAAATACCACAATTTGCTTTTTAACCGCATGCTTAATCACTTTGTCAAACGAGCTCAAAGCTGACGGATGCTTTTCCTGTAAGTAACAAAATAAGAATGTAAGCATCTATTGCGTTCGAGGCATTTGCAGTTATGGATTCGTGGTCAAATTCATGAAGATTTATCAAAAGAATGCAAAACGGAGGCACGAAATCCAAAAAGTCACGCCGACAGTGCCAATCAAAGACAGTTCTCCTGTGTGATGAACATGATGATGCCGTTTATGACGCGGAAAGGTGCTTACAAGCCAAGAGTTATAGATGGTAGTTTCGATATCAAAAGCTTCAACTGTATCCCCATGATAATGTGGAGGTGACTGTGCCCTCATTGCATCGATCCATGTGTGAATATTACCCTTGTCGGCGTGTGCGCTGTATTTTTTCTGCGGGACAACGGGAATGGGCATAGAACATACAGAGCTCGCACTCAGAACTGATGACTTCGAGGGGGATGTAGATATTACAGAAGCGACTGACAACGAAGATCCGCACGAAGAGGTTGGAGAGTCTGCGGACACTGATCGCTTGGACCGTAAAGCCATTCCTCCCACAAAAGTCTCCCCGAAACTAGGGAAACTTGCTCGAAGGAAACCTTCTGCTCCTTCAAATTCTTCGTGATACCTATCAAGACTACCGCTAACCTCACTAACTTTAAGTACCATGGTCAGGGCCGCTTACAGCTCCTTGGAAACGAAACACTTAACACTCTTATTTGGTATTGTTTCAATCGAACGGAATTGTCCTCGATATTCAAACTGTTACCGTAAAAGATCCTCACAGAAAGGAACTATTAGCTCTCTCCGCTCTGCATGTTCACGAGACTTTTGAACAATCTGCAAAAGGTAATACTACTCCAGTGAATTGTGGATTACGCTGAACAGGCGCTGTTGCACAGCGAAAACAAACAATAATTTCCAGTATCATCGACGCGCAGATCTAATTTAACGGACGAAAATCAGCGAGTGTCAACGGAATAAAGGGCCCTTAAGCCTCCAAAGGTCTGTTGTGAACGCCTAGAAAAATAGCCTCCAGATAGTTGTCCACTGGACGAGATCCTGCATCAAGGAAAACACAAAACACACAATAAATGACAGTACAGCACCACATGCACCTCCACAATCATCAAAATAACATATCGGTTCTCCCTCTCGTAACCGCATTCTCTTAAAAACAAAAATACATACATCACGAAGAGAAAAGCTGTAGTATTTGCAGAAGAACTACGACTCTACGTGAAGAATGCAAGTTCCAGACGCAAACCAATGTTACCGAAACTAGATGTGATATATCTGATTGAATTGTAGTGCAAAAATAGTGGATCTTATCCTCCGCTGGTTGGTAAAGTGGCTCGTATACACTTTTCGGAAACTACCATCGGTTGTCAAGCCTGCAACGTCGAATTTCGACACAGGTTTCGGTGCGGTTGATAAATCGTTCGAAACCCAGACGCAGAACTTCTACTGTAAAATTAGTGTCTTGAAACCATTATCTAATCGTTGAATGTGAAACGCTTGCTGCGGTCTGTGAATAGGAGTGACAAAACAAAGATGCAGTATGGTCTGAGAGAGATGTCGGCATAATGATGCTGGTGACGATATAAAAAAATGAAGGCTCCCCTAAAATGAAAATACCAAATACAGCTCCGCCAACTGCACGAAAATAAAATCCACTTAATGACCCATGCGGACAAGTCAGCACACAGACTTAGCTTCCGCACATTTCAAATAAAGCATGTGTATGCTTCAGCTCTGAATCTCGATCATGCGGAACGAGTTCCCTCGCGGGAGGTGTGTCAAAGAAAACTGAGTATAAACCTTGCTTCCTCGGCAGTTATCGGGAATAAAACTACACGCAGGCCTAGGGGGAATGATGCAATAGTGCAGATCAAGACGAATGCCTACCAACGCATGAAATGTCGAGCTCAAAATTCAACGAAACCAGGTGCGAAGAGCAGCACAAGAAGCACTACACTGAGAACCGCAAGAATATCTGCCGCGGTCGAACGAGAAGACGAGGATTCAACTAGTTTCAACCAACCGCCTCACTCCATACCCTGGTTCGAAGGGGAAACTGAACCCACCACAAGGCCTGGGTGAAAGCTGCGAAGCAAGGGCCCTCACTATTTGTCAACTTTCCACACATCAAGCACCAGATAAATAATAAGACGATCCCAACCTGGCAAGGCCTTTTTATACTCCCTCGATCCCAGCTGAAGCATCCACTGAAATCGCCCAGATGCAAAGTTCAGACAGACCTGGCGAACACCATACGTCAGACGGGTCCGCAGCGCCCGTCAGTCACGTCAGGGATCAGTCAGTCACGGCGCCATGCAATACAATACAGTGCACACAGACACCGCACCACAGGCACTGTGATCATACCGAACTCACGCTAGCCACCCCTTTCCTGAACCCGGGTGAGTGAGTGCTCCTCCCAAAGCAACCTGGCAATCCTCGTACTAATCCCACGGCAACCAATCTTGCTTGACCGCCCCCGCCCTCCCTCCACTGTGCACACAATTCAATGACTCTTTCCCTCCGTCATCCACCAGCACCACCGCAGCCCCTTCCTTCCTTCCCTATGCTTCCACCCGCTACCCCTAGCCTGCCACCTCCTCCCTCCTCCTCCACTTCTCACTCCCCTCCCCGATCTTCCACTCCAACTCCCCAAAAAACTTCCAAAAACTACCAAAAACTACCAAATACTTTCCAAAAAATACCAGAGTGGACAAACAATGGTGAGTCTATCGACGCAAAACCACTAATCGTCTGTGCAGTGTCAGTGCTGGGATCGCATTGGCCGCAGAAGAATCTTCCGCTGTACACCATCCAAACTTGAACTTGAACTTGAACTTGCTCCACCCACCTACCCAAAGCACCAGATCTCCTCCTCCTCCGGATCTCTTAGCCTGCCTTCGTTCCACCCTGACACCGCACCTTCACCCCCCCTTCCCGGCCTCTCTCTCCCTGCTCACCTCCGCATCTACGCTTCGCGTACATGAATGGGTTTGGAGCTTACGGGAGATGCTTAGCGCTTCGTGATTAGCTTATAGAATTAGGAAAGAATTAGAGCACGAGGTTAGGGTGAGATTAGCCAGCCAGACTGGATTCTACCGCAAAACAAACAGTGCCAATGGTGGTGGTGTTGTTGTTGGGTTCCATCGGGTGAGCGACTCGGGCTCCCAACCCACCTCGCGTGGGATCGCTCCTGCACCGCGGTCCTTGTCCACAAAGCTCGGCAGCAGCAGCCCTTTTTCTGTTCCTCCATTCGTCTCTTTTCATCCTCATTCCCTTGGGATGAAATGAACCCATGCATGCTGAGAACTCTTAGCTAGGTGGAGGCCTCACTACGTAATCACTCGCTCTATCCCACTGTTTCAACGAGTCTTCTGTTTAATTATCTTGATCAATACATGCATTGGTCTATTCTTGAATTAGTGCTAATGCAGAGTGGTGGTCTTTGTGTAACTTGGGTTGGCAGATTCCGTCGCTGGGTGAACAATAAATACATAAGGTTCAAAAGATGGATTGATTCTTAGTCTGCGACATTTTGGAGATTAATGTTCCAATGAAACGATGTTTCATCTTTTATCGAGCCTTTTTCATGTTGCGTTAAAACTTTTCATCTACATTACAGCTTTTAGCTCAAAATCTATTAAGCACACAACATCTTCAGACCTGCATTTACTATACATGTATTTCAAATAATAAAATAAGATGTTCGAGCCCTTCTCTTTTCTTACCTCTCTCTCTCTCGCTTGCTAAAAAAATCAAGTGAGAAGAATATTTCACATTTATTACCAAATAAATATATATACATGAACCATATTTTCCCCGTTTCCATTCTCTTAAAAACATATCGATTTAATATCATAAGGATACTTCAATTACATCTCAAAAAACTGTACACAATCCAATCATGGGTTCCCTTGTTTGTTTGTAGAGCATTGGCACTAGTTCAACAATTCACTGAACAATGATAATCTAGCACCTACATCTCGTACAACTCTTCAAAGATTTCCTGCCTATTTGTCAACCCAATTACTTGAAAACTGAAATAATGTTAACATGTATGTATGTATATGTATGTATGTATGGACATGTACACTACACACACATCTTTACAGACACTGAGAAGCATGCAGACATATGCGTCTAAATACAAGCGTCCAAGCCTTCAAATCACAGAAGAATATTCTTCGACGATACAGGAAATTTGTTCCAGATACTGCAACGAACCACGCGGCACTGAGCGAGAGAAGAGCTCGACGGGAGCCAAGGCAATGGATTCGCCCAACCACGGTAGCGGAGTCTGTGTGCATGAGTGGTGTGTGAACGAGCGACAGTCCAAATGCGGTGGGGGCAGAGTAGTTAAATATGTGTGGGTGTGTGGCAACTTGGGGCACAGTGTCAACGCGTGGTGGTGGATCTGACCAGAGCAGTCGTTTCCTGACAGAGCTTCCTATCGCACCCATTTCCGGTCGCTCTCGACAAGACGACGGATCCCTGGAGCTTCTCTGTTATTAGCCGGGGCGTCACTCATATTGGGTTGCTAAATGTGACGATTCACCCGTTTCCTGCCCACACGCACAGCGGATCCCTCCGTCTGAATCCGTCACGTTGCGATGCGGGCGAGACTAATTTCTGATTCCTCACCACTCAGCTTTTACTGTGGATTATTGCGCACACGGCATCCAATTTCGGGACCCAGAAATTGCAACACCCCCACCCCCCCCCCACCACCACCCCCACCACCACACAGCGCACTGTCTCAGGCAAAGGATGGAATATATTGCTAAGAAGCGCAGAATTGGTAAATTGGGGCCATCGAGTTGTGCACAGTTTCTGTGGCCCACGATTCCTCGGAATGGCTTGAAGACGATGATGAAAGGGTCCCACCTTGCCGCCGTGTCCTTTATTCTCTTCTCTCACACGACATGGGAATAAAAATAACCAACACAACACACCTCTAAGACAGTTGGAAAATGACACTGGATTAAAATAATAATATCGACACGAACATTCGTTATAGTAACAAAGCGCACACACGATATGGGAAATTTTTCTAAGGGGGTTCATGGCTGGAGCATATTTCTGCCTACCCCTCCTGAATGAGATTTTAACCCAATCAATCTGTGTGTGTGCTTGTGTGTATGGGTGGCTATCCTGTGCTTTGGCATGAAAAAACATGTGAGAGTGATTCTAGAATGGAGATAAATTGACAAACCTTCATTTTGGTTCATTTGTTGTGAAACATAAGTGGATGAACCCTGTGTTGACTTAAGGTATTAGTTACATCATGTGAGCCTTCTTTTGAAAGACTTTAGACTGAGTCTGAGTAAGTTGTATGTACCTTATTTGGTAGGGTGAAGTTTCATTTTTATTCATTAGAGTGAATGTAAAGTGTTGATTTTATTTTCCAAGTATTTTTCAAATTTATATAGGTATTGGAATTCATTTGATGGTCTTCTATAGATCAAGGTTAGAGTCTTTTTTCAACATGGTTATTATAATACATAATCTGAAGTAAAATCATTTTAGCTACTTTTCCTATATTTATGCTTTTTTTCTAAAATTTAGGCAGTTTTTTCATTTTTATATTATCCAAAAAAAAACCCACAATTGGAGGTTGTAAAACTTTAATTTCTTTGATATAATTAAGAGCCTCTTTAAATACTACTTGTTAGAAGGGAGTGCAAGTCATGGTGCATTCCTTGGCCCTTTACTGCTAAAGTAGTAGAGAGTAGTAGTTCTCCACCCCCCCAAATGCATTGATATATGGAGTTAATCTAGATTTTATGTAAAACAATCTGCTATTGATAAAATCCAAAGAGGGCATGGCTTGCCAATACCTCACTAACTAATTTCATTCAATATAAAAAAATAAAAATAAAAAAATATTATCAACCTTTGGCAAAAAATTCATTCACTTTAGCAAAATAGCTCATAATTGTTTTTTTTTATAATAATTATTATGAGACTCAGTCAATAACTTAATTTAATTTTTTTAAATCTCATATTTGAGATAAAAATATTCTACTGTTCAACAGAATTAAATTTTAAATTGCACCATTTTGTAGTGGATTTTTATTTTTATTTTTATGTTATTTATTATCATTTTGTAGTTTTTCTCCCACACAAGTCCTACACTTATTGACCATACAGATCCATCTCATTTTGTAATACCCACAAAACTACACTGCAATTGACACAAGTCGAATACAGAGACAGATGTTACCAATTTTGATTTTCTTTTTCTATTTTGTTTAGAAGTTTGGAAGGAAATATATAACAATAACTCTTGTAGCATTTGTGAAAAATATATATGTATAAACAGACTGAATTCATATTTTATTGACTAGTGTCATAGTATGTCAATGACCAATAAAAAAGTGTGTTTTGTGTCTTTTATTCTATTCTGTTGTCAGTCTTCATTGCAAATTCATTCACTGTTTATTGTTATATGTTATATGAATGCAATTCTCTGATATAGGCACAAGCACACACCCTTTGACTGGGGGAGGAGGGGGATGCATTACTTGGGATCTCTCAGTGGGCTTTTCCCCACACACCCCCCCCCCTCGCCCCCTCACTCCTCACTCATTTTTTAACACATTATTGTGTGTTACTTATGCAACTGAGAACTAATCTATGTATGTATGTTTATGTATGTATAGCTCATAGAAACATCATTAACTTGTACTGAAAGTGCAGCATTGTTTGTTTGTTAGTTTGTGGGAGGAGCTTGGCAGTCAAACCCACCAAATCCATGGCCCCATTACACCAGTTGCTTCTTCTCTTCACTCTCTTACAACACACTGGTGGGATTTGATGCACAAGATTACAGTTTGGTGTGTAATTAGTTTAGAATACTGCTGGAGATTCAGAAAGGAGGAAAAAAACAAGCAGAACAAAAGAAGAAGAAGACAGTGAAACATATGTGGTTTGATCCAAACATGCAACGTTAGTAGTCCTCTTCCTAGATTGGTATATATATCATACCTAATTACCTACTACTCATGATTAAGAAACAAAATATCAGCAACCTAGGAATGAGTTTTAAGCACTCAATGACCTCGTTACACTGGATATTCTTCAATGATAAAATTTTCTTTAAAAAATGAATAATAAATAAAGAAATAAAATAATTGAAGGATTCCAATTT